ATACAGTCCACTGAAAGATGTACATTAGGTCTTTCAGTATCACAACAAGGTGTAACAAGGACGATTATTTCCATTGTTCCCAAAAGGTATATTTGCTTCCACACTGTCATCACGCAAAGAACTGTCCCCTGCAACTTCCTATACCTGGATATTTAATATTCTTTAATTAAATGATAAAGTCCTTTTGGTAGGATGAGGGAACTAATTCTCCCTCCAAGGATAAGGGGCAGTAGTGAAGTCTGGTATGGGGTGACAGGATGAAGATGGGCTCAGAATTTGAGGAGGTTATGTTTGTGGGTGTATGTACAGGAAATCTGTGGCTAGAAGCCATCAGCTGACCAAGGTTTATAGCAGCAAATCACAGCACAGAGGTCACCAGGACATTTAAGTACAATAATAATATTGTTTTCAGAGTGCTCATTTTTATTTTGGGAGTATTAACTATATGATGAGCTAATAAAAACACCAGTCCTTGGCCTGAATTTTAGTCTGGGATATAGTTATTAACTTATAAATAGAAAACACTGTCAAGTTATAATTTAAATGCTGCATATGTGACTGACTAACTGGGTTAAAATTGAACACAACTGAATTTGGAGTGTTGGCAAATTACTTACATACCTTGTTGTGTGGTGTTCACTGAAAATGGCTATCCTGATTTGTCCTATCACGATGCATTTTTATAATGCCAGCACTAAGGAACGCTGATTGAGGTGTAACATGGGCTCCATTTTAAGTTAAATGGAAAACAAAAGGATGGGATGACTATTTAGGATATGATTTTTGTGTGTCTATGTGTGTTATGGGGAAAAGTAACGCTCCTCTTTGAAAGGACAGGAGACTTTTTTCTTGCAATAATTCTGTTGGGTTTTTTTATTAGAGGTTTTCATTTTAGGCACACATTATGCTGGATTAATTAATATTCTCTTCAAAAGCATGCTTTTTTAAAACAATCTTTCATGCATGCATTAGTTAATTTCACCAAGAACTAGAACAGCATGCAGTGCATTAGTCAGTGAGAAATCACAAATGAGTGTCATCTTGCAACTCAGTACTTGTTTTGTCTACAGGACCATTGTTCCATAAATAAATTGCTATCTATTTTTGTACCTGTTCTTTTTATTGGATAGCTTTCTTTGATGTTGTCAACCATATGCATCATCCGAGTGGAAGCAGCATCTTAATTATTTAATGTTTGCACAGTGCTTTAAACATGTCAAGTACTGTATAAGTGATAAACATCTAGATTTAATGTTATTTACAGTGATGTGATATCCTAGTGGCAAACTATCCTTGCAATTTTCATGTGGACTGTGGGCAGGATTGTGCATTGTCCTACACGTATTCATACAGGGGCATAAAGGTGAGCAAAAACCCCTGAATGGGTGACAGATTATGGGCTACTAGTCCCCTTCCCATTCAAGTGACCAGGGTGTGGAAGGAGCTTGACCTCCAATACCCTAGTTACTGCCACTGAGTTAGTGCATGGGGAACTAATCTGCACTAGGTAAAGCTCTGGTGGAGATTACATGCCCCTTGGTCTCCTCCTGGGGTTTGATCTTGCACCACTGAAGTCAATGGGAATTTTGCTATTAACTTTAAGGGGGCAGGAGCAGGGCCCTGAAACAGTGCAACTACATGCTGCCCTTTACTCAGGGATTATGGTAACTCCACAATCAAGCCTTAAACCATCAAATATATGCAAACTCATATTTGTGAGGGTAATGTAGGAACATATCTAAAGCAAAAAAAGTAATTTACTGCAGCCCTCAATCTGTATATTTTCCAGTAATAAGAGTATGGCTAACCGTACACTACTGCTTCATTATCCTCTTCCTTGCCTTTACAGTATTTTAAGGTAGATTCCTGCTCCTTTAGAGGATGTGACTCCCACAATTTTAATCACACAGGATTCTTTGCCATTCCTTAGGGGACACCATAATTAAAAACAGGCATAATAATCGTCAACATTATAATGACTGTTTTATTATTAAAGAAAGAAATAAAGATATTATACAAAACATCACAAAACAGAACACAGAATGCTCGGATGGGCATGCTCTTCTTTGGTAAATTAAGACCAAAATTAGCAAGGAGACCTGTCTTAATAAATCATAATCATTTTGTGGCTGTGCTTGAGCTAACTTCTGTCTCGGCTCTCCATGTTAATATCTGAGGGCACGTCTTCACTGGCTGCCGCAGCAGCGTTTTAATGTGGCTTGTGTAGTCGCGGCACAGCGCTGGGAGAGAGCTCTCCCAGGGCTCTAAAAAAACCCATCCGAGCTAGCTCCCAGCACCAGTGCACTGTCTACACTAGCATGTTATAGCGCTGAAACTTGCAGCGCTCAGGGGGGTGTTTTTTCACTCCCCCGAGCAAGAAAGTTGCAGTGCTGTAAAGTGCCAGTGTACACAAGCCCTTAGCAAAGTCACTGAGGTTGTTTGTTTGGTGGTCCTCTGAGTTCATTCTTCTTAGCAGTCTTGCTTGTATAGACAACTGGAAGAGTTGTGATGAGTGCTATAAAATTAAGGAGAGCAGAAAATTCTTGAGTACCTTTTGAGTAGGTTTAATTAGAGATTTTTTCCTGCAAAGGGAGGGGTAGGAAAGCCTGCTTTAATGTTTTATGGCTTCTGATAATATCTCCCATTCTTCTCCCCCCTCCCCCCAGCCCCCCCCACACACAGTCTTGCATTCTTTTAAAGTCAGGACATAAATATTTTTCAAAGTCTGTTGTTTGAAATAAAAATCATATCTGTTCCAAATGATATTTTAGACCAGAGTGGTGTTATGTTTTTTGATAAAGACAATTTGTTGTCTGTTGCCTTTTTTCCTTACAGTTCTCCTTAGATTTATGACCTGTTGTTTATAGTATTTACAACTGGCCATTAAAATTTCTATTAAGTATTTTGTACAAAGCACAAATTGCAATAACCAATAAACACTTTAAAACATAGTACAAAATGGAAATAGTATAGAATTAAAACAAAGTAGTAGTTATAAAAGCTGCATTTTAGAGTCTTCATGAACACACTTGGATGTAGTAAACACGGTTTCATGGCCAAGGAGGTGTCACCTTCCTTTGACACATGAGACTTTTAACTATGGAATAGAAAGTAGAAGCTTCCTGAAATTTCTTTAATTAATTTGAATATCTTATTTAATAACATAAGCAACCAAAAACATAAGGTAGTGTTGTTATATTCTCCATGCATTGTGGGCATAGCAGAAGAGTAGGTATTTCTTAAAATTCAGTAAAGGCACAGACAAGTTTTTAATGATCCTATATTATAAGAATAAATTATAATAATTTAATTATAAAAATTTTTCATCAATATTGAGATTTATCTATCACAGTGGTTCTCTTAGAGAGTAAAAACAAGCATCCATAATTCTTTTTTCTATGTTGTTGGGGACCTCGCCTGCTTGAGATGCAGTGCCGATTTCAGAAACTGCACATGCTTTAAAAGAGCTAATTAACTATAGGACAAAAAAAGAATTAAAGCATAATATCCAAATGTATATTTTTGAGATGGCATTTGATGCCAGGATGCTTTATTCAAAATGCTACTGACATTTAATCAAAACACTTCCTCACAATTACCACATATCTTTGGTGACTTTATTTGGAGTTGTGGTTCATTAAATTTTGGAAATAAATGTTCTGTTTTTGCAGTTTTAGACATTATTGCAAAAACATTATGTTTCAGTAGTACTGTGAAGCAGTACTGTGGCATCTTATTACAACTTATTTTTTGTTCCTTTGTGTGAACTTGGTATTGAGCTCCAATGTCATATGTTGAGACTTGCATTTGAGTTTTTAACCAGCATTTCATGGGCTTTGTGGAAACTCATTCCTGTGTGCATGTTATTTCAGTAATTAACTATGATGTTTTTTCTTGGTATACACAGGTTATTAGCTTTCCCAGTATAGGATAAGGAAACCAGGACAGTAAGTGTGGCAAGGGCTATATTACTTAGTCATTTACCCAGTCACTCATGGGAGGCATCTTCAGTGTGATTGAACCATAAGTTGGGCAGAGGGACAACTGCACCCTGCAAGACTACTTAAAATGTTTTGGGGATTCTCAAGGAGGTGATGGAGCATTACAATGGGGGTGATCTGGAAACCTTGTTGGGGGGATGGAGGAAAAAGAACTGAGATGAATTTTTTCTCACTTTTTTAATAAAAAAAGTTCTCATTTTTCAGCAAGCTCTAACCTTGATAAACATCCAACAGGGAAACAGGGAAGCCTTGTACATTTTAAAAAAAAAGAGATAGCATTTTAAGGGAGCTCTATAAGAAACAAGGAATTTTTTAAAGGAAAGTTAAAATTCAGAATATTGAAGCTGACAGGGTCTCCGTAGCTGTATTGGTTGTGACATCACAGTGTTTGACAGTTCTGAATCAGTCAAAAGGAAAGAAGCTAATTCTCTTGCCTGTTGTTTATTCTAAATACTAATCTGTTCTATGTTTTGGCAATAATGAGAAGTAAATGTATAAAGTATCTGCTATTTTAATGACATTTAGTAAAATATGTACCTCTCTTTAAAGTTTGCTAGAGTATATCTGTGTATCTGATTATTTTCAGTTTAGTGGGATTCTCATAAAAGTATATAACTTATTCACATAACTATTAATTAAATATGATTAATGTTATTACAGTAACTACTAAAAGACCTAATCATAATGTGCCATTTATTATACCATCTTGCCATCATTTTACGTCACAATGTTTCAGTGGATTTAAATGTGACTGTATAACCAACCACATTAATGGGATAGTTCACTTTGATTAATGTGAACACCAGAGAGCATTGATAATGATTAGTCTCTTTCATGAAGTGTTACCAAATACAGTATCTCCACAAGAACAAATTTAAGCTCATTTTAAAATCATGAAACATAGTAAATGGCTCTTCTATCAATTGATATTAAATACCTAATGAAAAGTGAAAGTCTACTATATGCTGACAAATGGTTTCGTAATTATTGTTTCCCTAGATCTTGGTGGAAGGTACTGTGGGAGATGGTTTCTGTGGAGACATTGGAATTGATGACTTGTCCTTTGCAGACTGTACCCTTTACAATGGTGAGAACAAAGTTAGAAAATAACTATAAATCTCTTTGCACCCAGAGACCTGGGACTTGTAACTGATTCGTTTTGGTTAATAACATCAGTGGAGGAACTTGTTCTGTAAAATGAAAACCTGCTCAAACCTTGCCTCTCCTGTCTAACAATCAAATCCCAACTAGTTTTCCCATCTGCCTAACCCTACTACCCAGAACCTTTCACCATCCCCTGGTAACAGTTAGCTAGCAATGTCCTGGAAATGTCCTCAAGCAGGTTCAAGAGTGTGCTTATTGAGGACAGAAAGGAAATATTGTGGCAATTGACATCTGGAAAATTAATTAGTGAAAAGCAGAAAATGTGATTTGATTATTACCTTTTCTGTTCATTCCCTCTGAGGCACCTGGCATTGGTCACTGTTGGAAGACAGGATCCTGGGCTAGATGGACCTTTGGTCTGACCCAGTATGGCCGTTCTTATGTTAGATATGCCTGGTATCCTGAGTCCTGACCGTATAGAAAAAGGAAGTGCTTCTTGACACTTAAGCTTAAGGTCTAAGATCAGGTCAGATGTGTAAGGGGAAGAAACTGTGCTCAGATGCCTGGGGACACTGGCTAGAAAATAAGCTCTGTAAGACAGAAGTTCCAGTATCTAAGGGTGGAGGGAAAAAATGTCAGCAGCTCTAATAGGCAGTCACTGGAACTCATTTTCCATTACCAGCAACAAGGTAATTTGATTTCTCGAAGGAGAACCAAACTTCTAAAGTAGTGTAAATATATTAAAATTTCACTTGGCAAAATTCATTCCATCTTTTGACTGACACAGAGAGAGAGAGAGAGAGAGAGAGAGATCTGCACATACATATGTATATAATCAATTTAATGAAGACATTATTCTGACAATGTCAAAACAAAAAAGTCAAACACTCACACTACAGTACACAAACAGTTTTAATGATACTACTGTCTGCCTGAAGTCTTCACTATCTAGTTTGGTACAATGTCTACAGAAACATCATACCTTGTGTCCCAAGACGTCTACAAAATTCCATGCCTACCGTGTTTCATAACAAAAACAAATCAAACAAACAAAGAGTAAGCTTCCAAGAGGGCTGGTGTTAGCTGCAGAAAAAAATGAAATGTAATATATGGTCTGACAGCTGACTTACAGTAGTAACAGAAACCAGTAGAACAGCAGACATTTTAGCACAAAATGATTTTCCTAGAATTGCTATCTTAGCAGACTCTCATGCACACAAACATAGTTTTAGCATGCAAAAACTTCTTCTAGGCAAAATTATTAGGTCCAGCAGGACTGTAGTGCATGCTGTATGCTTTTCTCATGGATCATTTCCCTTTTTTAAAAATCAAATCTAAATAGTGCACAATACAACTTTATTTTGTATGGCATCTTTCACACAAACAATGTATAAAGTTAAATGATACAAAGTTAATGTAAAAATATCTGCAATGGTGGAGGGGGAGGGAAATTAAGAGATATAGACAAGGGAGCAAATGTCTTCAGCTGACAAATGAAACTAGATAGGGAGGCAGAAGGATTTAAGAAGTCTGTTCTAAACGATAGAGCTTCAGGGGACAAGGCCCCAACACAAACAGTGGTGGGTTTGTATGAAGAAACAGAGGAGGCTGAAGATGGACAAAAAAAGGAATAGTGGGATGATCATAAATGAGCTGGGAAAAGGGATAAACAGTGAGTTGGCAAAATTTTCAGATGATACAAAATTATTCAAGATAGTTAAGTCCAAAGCTGACTGTGAAGAGTTACAAATGGATCTCACAAAACTGGGTGACTCAGCAACAAAGAGGCAGGTGAAATTCAATGGTGAGAAATGCAAAGTAATGCACATTGGAAAATATAGCCCAAACTATATATACAAAATGATCGGATCTCAATTAGGAGTCATTGAGGATAGTTCTCTGAAAACATCTACTCAATTTGGAGTGGCAGTCAAAAAAGCTAACAGAATGTTGGGAATCATTAAGAAAGGGATAGATAATAAGACTGAAAATATCATATTGTCTCTATATAAATCCATGGTGCACCCACATCTTGAATACTGCATGAAGATGTGGTCGCGCAATCTGAAAAAAGATATATTGGAATTGGAAAAGGTTCAGAAAAGGGCAACAAAATTATTAAGGGCATGGAACAGCTTCCATATGAAGAGAGATTAAAAAGACTGGGACGTTTCAGCTTGGAAAAGAGACAACTAATGGGGGACGTGATTGAGAAGGTGTGGAGAAAGTTAATAAGGAATTATTTACTCCTTCACATAACACAAGAAGCAGAGGTCACCCAATGACATTAATAGGCAGCAGGTTTAAAGAAAACAAAAGGGAGTACTTCTTCACGTAACAAACACTCAACCTGTGGAACTCATTGCCATGGCATTTTGTGAAGGCCAAAACTATAATGGAGTTAAAAAAGAATTAGATAAGTTCATAGAGGATAGGTTCATCAATGGCTATTATCCAAGATGGTCAGGGATACAACCCCATGTTCTGGGTGCCCCTGGCCTCTGACTGCCAGATGCTGGGAGTGGACTGTGGGAATTAGGTGCTTAAACCTGATGAGAAAGGAATCCAGTGGAGAGGAAATTGGCATGACACAGTCAGAGTGGTGGGACAGGAAGGTGATTGTCAAAGTAACTTTTTTTTTTTTAATGGACCGAACAGCAAGGAGATGATAGCAAAGGGATGTTAGATAGGAGGAGAGTCTCACAGCAATTCCACAGTTCAGGTGCAGAGATCAAAGAACTGTTGAATAAAGACATTGTTTGAATTATTTTTTTTCCATAAGGAAATTTGCCAACTATCTCATCAACACCCTCAGGAACTTCAGTTCCTGCAACACTCCCTACGAACAATTGCACAGAGAAGGAATTTGTCTGTAGAGAAACGGGCCACTGCATCCAGATGATCCAGAGATGTGATTTCAGACCTGACTGCTCTGATAAGTCTGATGAGTCCTCTTGTGGTCAGTGAACTAATTATTATGCTGCACTAACACATTTATTCTGAGATATTAAAAATATTTAATTATTCCGTATCTTCATTTGCTATTCTGTATTTACGTCCTGGCATTAATCTTCATGTAAGCTTCCCCAAAGAAAGACTACCCTTCAGCTTTGTAGTATGGGAATCTGAGATGTAATGCATCTTCAACCTTCCAATGTGCTGACTGGGACCTGACACTTTATATTTCAACTCAAATTACTTACTCAAAAGCTTATATCACTTAGTGCTTAGTTGCTATACGTAGCCATTTAAAAAAAATAAATACAGTTTCTCAAATTAACTGAACCAGTAATTACTGCTCATCTTTTTAAAGCAGCAAGGCAATTGTTGATGAGCAAGAAATTAAGATAATATGTCATGAAGGGAAGAGTGGATATAGCCAAAAGAGTTACAAAGAAGTAACTTGTTGGTTGCTCCTGATGGATTTCTAGTATCAAGATACTTAATAATAGAAATCAAACTGTTGCTTTATATTTGTGCCTTAAAATATAGTCCTTGATAATCCTGGTCTGCTAGTTCACAAGAGGAAATGTATTTAGACTACCCCTTCAGGGCAGGAACTGTGTCTATATTAGAGGTGTGGGAAACCAGAATGTTCAGGTTATGGGAAATTCTGAAATTTCTAAATTTGTTTTCATTCTGAATTTGAATGAAACATTGAATTTCAAAAATTGCCACAAAACTACATTTAAAAAAAAATAATTTTTGTTCAATCAAAACATTTAGTTTTGATTTCCACTTTCAAAAAAATCATAATACAAAAAAAATTGTTGTCATGAAAAACAGTTTCAAAATGAAAATTGGAAACATTCAGTTCTGAAAATGTTGAAATGGAATGTTGTGATATTATTGAATGTTTCATTTAGATCTTTTTCTAAATGAAATTTTTTTGAAATCAACACATTCCCGTGGACAATTTTGATTTCAGTGAAAGAGCATTTTCCAGCCAACTCTAATCTAAATGTTTGTTCAGCACTGAATACAAATCAGCTGTTATGGATCACCATAGTACAAATAAATAATAATAAATTATTTTTTTTATTTTTAATACTCATGAAACTTCCTTGAATATAGCAATTTCTTCAAAATTTTTTTATTTTAATTTCACAAATCTCTTAAGCTTTTTCCTGTATAGATTGATTATGAATATTGAAAAATTTAGATGTTGCATGCTTATGATTGGTCAGCCAAATCACATGGTATTGTTTTTCTTTTCTGATTAAATGTGTGATCATTTATAAAGTGAAATATTTTGTTTGTGTATGTATGAATATAAAATATATTGTCCAGAAATACACTCACATGTGATTTTGATATCTACTTTCTGTTAAAATTTGTTCCAGTAAAACATTAGCCACTGAGTGTCCATGGTAAGTGAACCCAAACGGAAAAAGTGGAAGTGATTTACAAATTCAAATATTGATGGACATTTTCATGCAGTATTCATCCAGCTCTAGTTACTGAGGAGAAACACTGAAGTGAAACTTTAGCATAAAGCAGAGCTCACTGGGTAGAACAAGTTTTTTCTCACAAATTCAATTTAGGTCGGTCTTCCAAGTCACCCTTCATCTCTTCAGGGGGATAAATGCTATGGAGAATACTGCTTAGTCTACTGCATGCAATCTGAAGTCTGCAGTCACCACAGAAATGACTGCAATTCATCGCTTAAATGGCAATATCTGAATATGCCTGAAGTACGTCCTGCAGGCAGCAATCTGTGCACAGGAGGGTGTTATCCACTGTCAATTGCACTTTAAAACATAATATTTATAAAACACGTAAAACTGTAAAAGAATATGTGTGGCACTTTAGACTGTGCCACTCATCACTGTCAGAAAGCATTATTAATCTTATAGATAATTAGGCAGAGACATTGGTTGTGGTTAGCTTTACCGTAACTTTTTAAACTAATAAAGCTACTCTGTTAGCCCCCCCCACCCTACTTCATTCCCCAACCTCTACTCCCCCAAAGAGGTTACCCCAGGACAACATATTGTCCTCACACGTTATAATTTACTAATACAGAGATCATCTAAGGCAGGGATCGGCAACCTTTGGCACGCGGCCCACCAGGGAAATCTCCTCGCAGGCCAGGACGGTTTGTTTACTGCAGCGTCCGCAGGTTCAGCCAATCGCAGCTCTTAATGGCCGCGGTTAGCCATGCCAGGCTAATGGGGGCTGCAGGAAGGGGCGTCCAGCACATCCCGCACCACTTCCCGCAGCCCTCATTGGCCTGGAACTGCCCCAGCAGCAGCCAGTGCGACTGGCCCAGTGGTTGCCATGACCTCCATGACAAACACAGAGCCTTAACCATTAGATTCTGTGTGTGGGGACACTGAGTGGGACAAGGCAACTGGAATACTCATTTGTCCCATCTTCAAGAAGGGATCAGCTAATCCCAGGAGGCTGAAATACTACCCAAATAAGATGGTAATTCAGTATTTTGGTCCCAATGCCAAATGGTAGCATTACTGTAAGTCATTTAGATATGATTTGGATTGTTAAAATAGAACTAATTTGCTTTTTGAGTTCCCTTCATAAAGTTGCTATCACACTGATAGCTAATGGCTTTTACGCTGATATCTTTGCATATGACATCACCAGAGGAAACGGGTCCTTTTCATATATAATGTGATCTGATGTTAGACACCAAGGTGAATAATGATTTTTCTCCCCAGGTTAGAATTTGTTCCTTAGCCAATAATATAGTGAGTACTATTGATATTGTAACAATAGGGAGAAGCCATGCTTATTGATGCTGTATAAATACTCATTAAAGAAACTAAACTGCAATTCTTTTATACCCATATTGTTCACTAGCCCCTAACATTAACAGTCTGATCATTCCCAGTTAGTAGACATATACTAAGTATTCTAATTTTGTCTTGTAAAGCTGTGGAAGTATGTGATTTTGAAGGTGAAAACCTATGTGAATGGTATCAACCAGTAACAGAAGTGGCAGCAGCAACTGTTTCAGTCCATTCCACTAATGCATTCCAGTGGGGCCTTGGAAATGGAGCAACCATACATCCTGGGGAAGAAAACCACAGGCCATCAACTGATCACACAATGTGAGTAAGATGTTCACACCTACACACTTACCTCTTGGGACTGTATATGGTTAATCAGCTATGGCATTTGTGAATCCTGCTGCCATTTGCTCATTAGTGTCAGTGTTAAGTTATTCTAGACCTGTACTGCTCTAAGAGCAGAATTTGTCTCGGTGCATGTGAAAATTGAACTCTCTCCTAACATATAAATGTCTTGTACACCACTAGCAGGAGAGGAGAATTGCTGCCCCACCATGTCCTGCACAATGCTGAGTTTTCATCTCCAGCAGTACTAGCTCTGAGAAGAGGCAGCCAATCAGTATTCCTGTAGGGACCAAGGTGTGAGCAATCATACCTAATGCTTAGAGTCAGGTGCCTGAAACCAGAGCCAGGGTCAGAGTCAGGTGCCAAGCCAAAGGTCAGAGCCGGGGTCAGGGTCAGGGTTAGGATAGGAGCAGAGACCTGGAATGAGGCAGGAAACCAGGAACTGGCAATAGAAAGGGTTCTGGGATAAGGAGGGCAGGAACAGGCAGGGCTCAGGAATCAGGCAAGTAGGCAGGGTCCATAGCAGCTGCCAGCCAGCCAGGCACAGCTTCCTGTGCCTCTTTCTGGTTTAAGTAATGTGTCCCTGCCACTCAGGGGACATCTCCTCCAAACAGAAGCTTTCTGGGCCCTCTGTGAGCTAGAGCTTCACTAGCCCACTTTTCCACTTCTTTGGGTGAGTGGCTAGGTGGTGGCCACAGTCTCAGTCCTGCTGGGGGCTCATGGCCCAGATTCTAGGGCCTGGATTACTAGCTGATGTGTTACATCTGAGAATACAGATGGAAGCAGACATGGGCAGCATGTATAATAGGCCAGGGGAGGCTAAGCCTTCCCTAACCCAGGCCGTGGCCCTGCCCTCGCTCCCCTTTTCCCCCAAAGCTGGTGGGAGCTCAGCTCAGGCCAGCGGCTTGGAGCTTGGTTGGCCGGCCACTCAGCTCTGGTTGGATCAATGCTTGGGCTGGCTGGTGACCTGGGGGTCAGGCCAGTGCTCGGGCCAGCCGGGGGTCACGGCAGCTGGTGGTCCAGGACTTGGGGTGGCTGGGGAAGGCGAGCCAGTGCTTGGGCCAGCTGGTGCAGTAGGGCAGTCTGGCCAATGGCCCAGGGATTGGGAGAGCTTGTGTGGGTGGGCTGGTCCTTGGGGTAGTTTGGCCAGGGCTTTTCTGGCAGTAGGATGGAGGGGGGCCTCGGGGCCCTGGCAGGCAGGTGTGGAGGTGGAAGGGGCGGGGTAGGGGCAGGGCCTTGGGCGTAAGGGGTGGGGTAGGGCTAGGCCGGGAGCTAGCCTCCCCGAAGGAGGAGTTCACACACCACCCATTGAAGCAGTGACTCACTGCTTTGAGATTGTGAATAATTTAAGGGTATGCACTAGGGCTGATGATTAATTGCAGTTACCTCACGTGATTAACTCATTAATTGCGATTAATCACATAGTTAAACAATAGAATATAATTTGAAATATATTAAATATTTTTGATGTTTTTCTATATTTTCAAATATATCTGTTTCAATTACAACAGAGAATACAAAGTATACAGTGCTCACTTTATATTTTGATTACAAATATTTGCACTGTAAAAATGATAAAAGAAATAGTATTTTTCAATTCACCTCATACAAGTACTGTAGTGCGATCTCTTTATCATGAAAGTGCAACTTACAAATGTATTTTTTGATACATAACTGCACCCAAAAACAAAGCAATGTAAAACTTTAGAGCCTACAAGTCCACTCAGTCCTACTTCTTGTTCAGCCAATCACTCAGACAAATAAGTTTGTTTACATTTGCAGGAGATAATGCTGCCCGCTTCTTGTTTACAATGTCACCTAAAAGTGAGAACAGGCGTTCGCATGGCACTGTTGTAGCCGGCATTGCAAGATATTTACGTTCCAGATGCACTAAAGATTTATATGCTTTCATGATAAAGAGATTGCTCTACCGTACTTGTATTAGGTGAATTGAGAAATACTATTTCTTTTGTTTTTACAGTGCAAATATTTGTAATCAAATATAAATACAAAGTGAGCACAGTACACTTTCTATTCTGTGTTGTAATTGAAATCAATGTATTTGAAAATGTAGAAAACATCCAAAATATTTAAATAAATGATATTCTATTATTGTTTAATAGCACAATTAATCACGCGATTAATTTTTTTAATCGCACGATTAATCACAATTACTTTTTTTAATTGCTTGACAGCCCTAGTATGCACTATTGAAGTCCTTATCCACAGTAGAAGCTTTTACAAAATTGTTTTCTCTATTGTTGATCAAGATGTTGAACCGAGTTATAAATGCACAATGATGAGACAAATCATCTATCTTGGTGTTGCCAGGGCATTCACTGAAAATTATTGGGAAAAGGAGCAAATATTTGTTTCTTTGCTTCACAGTGTTAAACTTTTTCATGATTGTCCATCCAGTAGAGGGGACAATGTATGCAGAACCATCTCCCTTCCTTATGCTCATGGTATACTGCACAGTACAACTGAAACTACTACAGACATTCAATGGAAACTTTGTAAATAATACCTCTCACATCTGTAATGGAGAAATTCATCATATTGAAAAATAAATCCACTCACTTTGCTCTTTTGTCAATAGATCAATGCTATCAGGATATTATATTTTATAGTGATAAAATTCTATGAATGTTGTTAGTAAAGGCATATGTGCTCATCTCTAGATATGCAAACATCACTTTTGTTAACAGAGATTCAAAAATGAAAAAAGGGCCTTATCCCAACTTCTAAATTTGTATACCAACTTGTAGGGCTTTGTGCATGAAAAAAAAAAACCAACCTGGAGATTCAATTTTAAAGGCTTTGGTTTTGAGAATTTGACCTTAATGTGCATTACATGGGTTGAAAAGAAACAAAGTGAGCTAGCCTTTTTCCTCTAAACAGACAGCAACAACAAAACACAAAACTTATGGTCCACATAAGAAAAAAAATGGACTGGGAGGAACAGATTTAAAGAGCTCAGTCTAGCTTTAATACTTATATTCTAGTTGATTGGCTTTTTTCTACATAGTGACTACTGACCCCAAGCGTTTAATTTGCTCAGATTTTGCTCCTTCGTCTTAAAGAATATGGTTGGAATGATGCCTTTTGGGGCAGAATTTGCCATATGGACATGCCAAAAATCTTGAATAGAAGCCTGGAAGGAACTCCTTTATATTTACGTAGAGGAAAGAAAGTCTTCTCCTAGTGCTTCATTCCTGTGTGTGTTTCTTATACTCTCTCAAAGGATATTATTGAAGTCAAACTGCCGATTCCAGATAGAATCATTATGATAATTACTAGCTCCCGATAAAAATATTCATTTCATTTGCATAATGAGCAATAATTTGCTTTTTCATTGAGATTTGGTTACATTTAGTAAAGAATATGAAATTGTACTTTAGATGAATTACAGTCTTTTTTTAATTTATATCAGAATTATAATATTGACTATGCTGAAATATCTCCATTATCTCTCTCTCTCTATCTAATCTGTGTGTGACCACACACACAAGTATGCTAGACAGACACATACATACTTCTATTTAATGTTGTATGAAAAAAATACCAATAGGCCAGGTATACTTAAATACAAGCTTCTTTCAGTGATGTGCAGCTCGAACTCCAGTCAAGAAACATGGGGTTTCTATATGATCTGAGAGCTGTTCAGTAATCTGAATAGAAAAAAAACAAGATTTTCTATCTGGAATGATAGATGCCTGCAGCTCTCTGTGCAAGTAGGAAATAACCATTTATATGTGGCAAGGAATTCAGAACAGGACACCAGTGTTATTAATTGCAGTAAGAGTTACTATTTTGATGGTAGTTTAAAACTAGATTTATGTTTATTTTTAGTGTCACAGTAATACTATAGAGCATTCAACCTGACAGCATTGTTAATATGAGTATAAAAGAATTACTGCATTTCAGCTTAATATGTTAAGGTTTTTAGTGTCAGTAAAATTACTATGTTTCTATTGTAAAAAGCCCCATAATTTAACCATAGTTAAAAATTACAGCTTTACTTTGTCATTTTTTGGAAGCAATTTAGACTTCCTGCAGAACATCAGAATGTCTTCCTGCTTGAAGAGAAAAGGGATATGATAAATCAAGAGTAAAAAACTTGAACTGACTAAAGAATATAAAATCTTATGATATAATTGTTGCATAGTAAATAATATTAGCATCACATTTTCTGTTTTACAGAATCTTCTTACAGCATTTTCACCCTGTACATGTTTTAATGTACAGTGATATTTGATCTCTTTTAATATACAGTGATAGACATATGTACTAGAACTGGTTAACATTTTTAATTGAAACTGTTTTTCAACAGAAAATTAGATTTTACATATAGTTTCCCTCCCCCCAAATGTGTCTGCTTCCACGGGAAAACTTTGATTTTTTTCATTTAAAAATAAACAACCTTGAATGTCGTAAAACTGAAAAGTTTTAGTTTTCAGTTGAAAACTGAAATATTTCAGAAAATAACTGAAATATTATGGTTCAGATATGCTGCCACAGTGCCTCCTGCAAGTGTATTTTGGTTGCCACATGTCCCTGTTCCCCTCTATGTGCTGCACTCCCTAGCCAGATTTTATCTTCCCATGATGCACTATGTCCCCTTATCAAGGGTACGTCTTCACTACCCGCCGTATCGGCGGGTAGCAATCGATTTATCCGGGATCGATATATCGCGTCTCATTAAGACGCGATATATCGATTCCCGAATACGCTCACCGTTGACTCCGGAACTCCACCAGAGCGAGCGGCGGTAGCGCAGTCGACGGGGGAGCTGCAGCCGTCGATCCCGCGCCGTGTGGACCCCAGGTAATTCGATCTAAGATACTTCGACTTCAGCTACGCTATTCGCATATCTGAAGTTGCGTATCTTAGATAGATCCCCCCTCCTAGTGTAGACCAGCCCCAAGAGGGCAGACCATGGTGTGTTGTGGGAAAAGTAGTCTAACCAAGGAACC